GGATAACGAATGCATTGAGCTTCAAATCCTGCGGTGAGTGTACCTTGGCCCTTGAACGTTTGCTTTTGCTTACTACTAACCTCTGTATGGTCCCACCTCTCACATGTGTACATGACTGACACATACTGACACATTTGGCTCAAGCCTGGAAAAGCCGCTTGCTTTCACGCCCGACCCTGCACTTGACTGGCTTTCCGCGCGTTGTCCGTTGGACCACTCTCGAGACATGTTCTTTCCAAGGGAGCTCCACTATATTGCACTTCGCGTCGCCCCCCCGTCCCTTCCACAGCACGTCGAAACCACGACTGAAACGGAACATGTTAGAACTGCAGAACACGAACGCCTGTGCGAGTCACGAGAGGCCGTGACACCAAAAACATTGATGTAATGAATACTATATGTTTGCACACACTTCCTACCTGACAAATGTTACGAAGCACTTGAGTATTCACAAAATCCCACAAAAAACACCAAGCCAAGCATCAGAGATTTCTCTGGCTACATACATAATTTTGTTCGCGCCGGATGTTCTAAACAGAATCACCTTGCCTTTTAAAACCAAACAACCCTCTGGCCTCCGGCAACGGAGCATACCAAACCTCCATAGGACGCGCCCATGATGCATCCTCCGCTTTCAGAGCTGAATCTGGAGGAATGCTTCACGGATCTTCACTGACTATGGATAGCTAGCAACATGTCCCGATCTACTCCGCTATCAGTACACATTTGCATCAAGAGGAGAGATGCAAAGAATAAGAGCGCCAACAAAAATCTAACCTGATTTCAACTCCTTGCCGCATCAAAAACTGACTCTCCGGATTGGGAGCCATACACAAAAACTTAAGCAATCCTATCTTCACTGCTGTTGTTCTGTGTGTATCATGCAACCATGGATGAAATCCACAGCAGCTTCTCCCAAATTGGATTCCACACACGACTTCTCCTCTTCTTGAAACTCACGTCATCTACCCACCCACAGTCCTTACAGGCGCTGTTCCAGTAGCACCACTCCTAAAGAAAAGCACGGTCCTTTAGACAAACAAAAGGGCTTAGAATCATTACCCCGGGCAGCCCCGCGGCACCAGCATCCAAGCCCCAACGCCCCCACAACAAGACATGTGGCAGCGGCATTTTGCAGCGGCGCCAGTAAGCGCACACAGCACGTCACACGGCCACACGTGTGGCAGCGACACCCCACAGCGACATCAGCACCCTGCAGCGAAAGCAGCGTACAAGTATCCGGCAGGGCCCTGCCGGTGCTAGCGACCAAGCTCCAAGCGCACCCAGCCAGACATCTGACAGCGCTGAAGCAGCACCAGCTGGGGGGGAGGCAAGGCGTATGGATTCATGATGGGCGCGGTGGCGAAGCTGGCCGCAATATGCCGCAATGACATCGTCATCGCGGAGGATGCGATCGTCGCGGGTGAGGCTGCTGATCTGCAGCAACTGCACCTTGTGCGGCTTCGTTCCATCACGGGTCTGCCGGTACAGGGCGAAGAGATCTGCCGGTACGGTCCTGGTCCCGAAATATCTTGTTGGAGCGGCCTTTGTCCATCAGGACGTTCAGATCGCTTTGTCGCGCCTTCGTGCGTTGCCCTCCGTACAACCCATATCTTCGAAGAAGCCTGCGATTCGTCATGCGTGTGCAGCAGTCCGTGGTAGACCCGCGTCACTGTGAAAGCATCACACACACTGTGCGAGAGCTCTTCTGAGGTTGCCCCCGGAACGAAGGTGATGGTGAGCGGTGCCTCGTGCCGATCGACCTGGCCGTCGACGTGCCCCTGAAGACTGCCACAACTCAAACGGAATCGCGTTTTTCTCAATGATGGTGTTGAGTCTAGAACTGTTCATGTCTGCAATCCGCTTTGCAATCCGCTTTGTGGGCATGGAATGGGCATGGAACTGATCATGGTCGACCAAAACGGTTCGTAAAAAACAATTTCAGCGACCGGCGAACCCCAATGATTTTGTTCCTAGATTGTTTAGGGAAACTTAGCAGTAACAAGGGCATAGGGTGTCCCACAAGAGGTTTACACAAGAGTGTCCCACAAGAGTGGCCTACAAGAGTGTCCTACAAAAGTGTCCCACAAGAGCGGCCTGCAAGAGTGTCCCGCAAGAGTGCCCGACAAGAGCGTCCGGCAAGAGTGTGCCACCAGACTGTTGTACGTGACCTCAGAAGTGGCAGCTTTGTAGTGCAGATGTAGTGTGGGAAGCAGCTTCTGGGAGCTGTGGCCCCAGAACGGGCAACTTTCTAGAACAAATGTGGTACTGGAAGCAGCTTGTGGGAGCTGTGGCCCTAGAATTGTAATGCAAATGTAGCGCGGGATATGGCCAGATTACGTTTGTGATGTCGCTGCGCCATGCGGTTTCGTGCGGCCTCGGTGGAAAGTGTGTTTGTGTGAGTGCGTGTCGCTGGGGAGCGGGAGGCGCACCACAAGAGTGTCGCACGAGAGTATCCCGCACAGGTGTCTCACAAGAGTGTCTCGCAAGAGCACCGGATACAAGAGTGCTTTACCAGAGTGCCCCACAGGAGCGTCAAACAAAGTTTGGCCATTTGTTTTCGAGCGCGCGTTTGCTTGGTTCGTGGGTTCCGTTTTGTTTTTGTTAATCAAACTGCCCTCCGGACTCCAGCCAAGTGACACAACCTCGTTCGAAGAGTACTGGCGGCGTCGCGCAGCCTTAGTGGTTTGAAGCCCAAACCATTGTATCACAAAAAAGGCAATCTCACGTTGTTCTCGAATCAGTCTTAATAACTTTCATGCACGATGCTATTGCTTTAAAACACGAAATGGGAGTGACTGGTTCAAGTTGCGAGTTCCTGCTGGGACTTGGAACTGCAAATGCTATTTATGTATAAATAGGTGAGCCCATGTAAATTCTAGATTGCGCTTGGGGTATCTTTCAGCCTCCCAAGATCTCCCAAGTCAACTATATACAATGAGTTCCTTTGATATGGGTGTAGTGCTTAGATCCATGTTCTTTGTGAAGAAGCCGTGACAATTATTGTTTTGACAAAAGGCTTTTGGCAATTCTGGAGGCGTCTTTCATGAAGATATGTTTGTAGCCACTGGCTTAAAAAGTATTCATGAGGAACAAGGATGTTGTACTGGCAAAAGTTTACTAGGAATAGCCCGACCTTTTTTACATGGACGCATCAGAAAATCATTACTTTGGAAAGGACGAAGTCAGTACACAAGCTCTTTTTTACGAATAGATATTCTTAGAAAGGGTCTCTTTCTTACCGAGTGGAGATCCTGACCATTCCTAAGGCACCCCACATGCAGCTTGGGCGGGTCCGCCTCAGGTGCGTCAAGAGCTTGGAACTTGAAAGGAATATCTTGGAGCCTCTCTTAGCATCAAGTGTTTCTACCCAAAGAACTTGGGATTGGAATATTCAACTTCTCTTGTAAGGACAATTATTCCGATAGCTTAAAAATACATTCCACAAACAGCATTTGGCAACAGTGGATGTGTCTTCCCTGAGGGGATTCTTGTACTCCCTGAGCAGCAATATTCATGAGGAATTGGAGCGTCATACAGGCTCACTATCAAAAAGCAATGAATTGATCAAATAGTGCTCATGCCAAATAACTTTCTGTTTCTATAACACGAAGTAGCCTCTGCAATACAAATCTCCACTACAAGGCACAGAAAGCAGCACAACCAAACGTTTAATACCTTCCCCTTGGTATATAAGCAAACATGGTGGTCAAACAGTGACACACTAAACCAGCAAATGATTATAAACAATCATCTTGTTTATAAACAACTCCTACACCTGAGTAGAAGGGGGGAGGGGGCCCCCACTCACCCTTGACTATCACAAGTCACATACTACCCCCCCACCCTCACAAGTCATATACTACCCAGTTACTACCCCCCGACCCTCACCCTCGACTATCACAAGTCGACATTGATGAAAGTAGATCGAATATAGTGTGCATTTTGTTCTAGATTTACTTTTGTAGTATATAAATGATTGATTTGTTAGCAAAGGATTGATTTGTTAGCGAAGATGCATTACAATAAACATATACAGATACAACAAATAAAATTGGATCATATGATTCAGAAACAATTGCTTTCCAGGGGGCCCCGAAATGTCCGCAAGCCCATATATATATACACATCCTGTACAAAGCCAAAGCCCAGCCACTGTCTTCAAGCACTCTGTGAGCTTTCTCAAGCGTGGCAATCCCTGGTGCTGTCTGCAGCTGCCAAGGGTGAAGACCCAGCTGATGCCCAGCAAACACGCTCGGCGCAGGATCTAAAGTATGCCCTTGAAGTTAGCGATGATGAGATTTACTCAGCAAGATAGAGCAACATCCCTACCGTATTCAATTCAAAACCAAAATTATAGCTTACGTTAAGGGCACTTTATGGAGGTCCCAATCCTGGTTTTATGGAGCAACAGGTGGATTGAATCCTTGATCAACTTAATCTTGCCAAGGCTATGTGTGTGTGTGTGTGGGTTGAAGGTCCATGAACCAAAACTCATCTTGAAACTAATTCAGCTAGAACTATATACTGACTAGCATATAAATCTGATATTCAATGAATTCTCATTACAGTGGCTGTCCCAATCTGCGAGCTTGATCAAACAATCGCATCAGCAAGTGCCAAAGAATTTGTCCTGAGTCTTGAGCATCGAAAACCATTGAAAGGCATCAATTATCACCCTCAACTCACATGTTAAGTGCTTGAGGATATGCTGCCTTATTTTCCCTCTCTCTCGCTCTCTCCTTGTTCGTTCGGACAGGAATGTGCCGAGTTCCAGTAGAAAATAATTCCGGCAAAAGCTGAACAAACTTGCCAAAAAAGAGTCAGTCAGGCAATAAAAAGACGTGTCCCCTAAGTACGAGTTTGCTTTCCTTCACATATCACCTGAATTAGCTATAACATGCTATAAGTACTGCTCTATGCTCTCCCTTTTTGGCTGTGATCCACTCTCAACCCCACGGACACCGACTCCACGTGACGTCGCGAGCGTGACCCGGCGCCTGGATCTCTGCGTCGGCCGCGCGGCTAAAGTTCCCCACGACCAAAGGCACCAGGGGATCCAAAGGACTCGCGGGTTGGGAGGTGACACGTGGGGGTTTTCCCTTTGGTCGAACTGTGTTTTTTGAGGCTTCTAACCTGGGGTACCTATTGGATAGTCGAACTAAGGTTCTAACTTGGGGTCCCACAAATGGATGGAATCTGTAGAGACACGAGGAGACCATCACTGTATCGAGGGATCCTGAGATTCCATCCATTTTTCCTCTTGTTCCGCAGTGGATGGAGGATGGAGGAGAGGTGCTTCCACTGGAGCCCCAGAAACTCCGGTTAACGATCCCATGGACCGACTTCGCCCCATGTCGACCCATCTTCCTTTGGGGTCAACGGGTCAGTCCTTTTTGGGGTCCAACGGTACAAAAGCGACGTCGAACCGCCAAGCGACGCCAAACCGAACAAACCACGTGACTGGTGAGACCGGTTGCGGGGTATATATACGGGCGCCTGGACCCGACTTCAAGTACCCTAGAAAATGGGATATGACCCAATCAAAAGAGGTATACCTTGTAATTAACCATTGAACCCGAGGTACGAACGGAGACTCCAGGTGCTTGGATCTACTTGGCGACTGCATAGACCCTCTCAAATGCTGGCTCCGTCACAACCAAAAGATGGACCATGTCAAGGCTGGCGCCTAGAGGTCCCTAGCTTCTGGTGACCGTATCAATTCCCAGGACAATGTGCTTGCATTACCGTTGATCCCACCAAAATTGGTGTTGATCCCGCCTAGGGCCTAGGTTAACTACATCTAATCAAGACTCTAATCACAAACAATGTCCGGAGCAAGGACCGCGCAGTTGGCAAACATCAACATATACACGCTGACTCACTAACATATACACGCTAATATGGAAGACGACTTTCCTGTACAAACAGGAGGTTTTCCACTTCCATGTTAGCCAGTCAGAGCGTACACGCTCCATGTCGACAAGTTGTCAAGGGCAGTTCTACAACAAAGCCACCACCACCCTACAGCAGCTCCCCCCCCACCTATTGGTGTAGCCCTCCGAGCCAGGCCCTCCGGTGGAGCCTGCGACGTTCGGACTCCATTGGCGCATCTTGGCGTGGCAGTCCACTCTCTGACGTGTGCCTTTGTAGGGAGGTATCTGATGGTATCTGTGGGGATTCGTTCCCTCATGAGACACCTATGACACCTATGAGTTGCACCACGCTGAGAAAGGACTTTTCAGTCCACAAATGTGCGTGGGTCATGAAATACGCACGTTTGGCTTATGGTCCACTTTATGTGGGTTCGTCAACTCTTTGTAAACCCTACGGCTCCAGTCGTACCTCCTCAGAAGGTATTTGGACACTCCTGGCACCCACCCCAGTCCCACCTTCTCAGAAGGTACTTGGAGCCTCTAAACCCACCCCAAACACCTTCTCAGAAGGTACGACTGGAGCCCGAACGGTAAAGTCATCCTTATTGATCCGGCCAGTGGCACTCACACTCGTGCGCGAACAACCCCCTTGAGACTCGCTCAATTTCCCGGTACGGGAGCGGTATAAGCCCCAGGCTTCCTGGCCCACCATGAATTTTAATGCTTAATTGTTACGAAGTGCTTCTTGTTACTACTAGTAAGGCACTTGTTCCCAGTAGCGATGCACTTGTTCCTAGGCAGGTCATCCCGAATCAACTAAGGATTTTAATGATTTTACATTGCACAAACCAGGTCGTTCCCATTCTTTTAATGGTCGAACGGAAGTCAAACGGGCAAGGCGTTTGCCTGGTCCGAAGTGGGGCCGTGCCACTACCGGACTCAAGATCACGTCTGCACTTCTTCGCCGGTTCTGAGAGGAGGGCCCCATACTGACGTCGTGTGACTGAATCTGGGATCTATCCATATATATACATATATCAGTGTACAGAATCCATACAACCTCTACTATCCTCCACTGATGGATGACGTCACACAGAAATACTGTGCGTTCTCCACCGTCGCTCTGGAGTTCGGTACCCCTAGGTCGCTGAGGTTCGCGTGGGCCGTGTGAGTGCAGGTCCCGATGAACATGGCACGGCCGAGTGAAGATATGACATTGAAGAGTAACAAAGCAGTAAATGCCCAACTATACACCTCATATCATATCTCTCAATGATTGTGCGGCGTAGCACGCATGCCGCGTGTTCGGCGCAAACTGTTTGGAACCATCGAGTCTTTTGAGAAGCGGACATGCCATGATGCTAGTTTCCTACTATTTCCTGCTTTACACTGCCCTGAAGCTGCGAATGGATGTTGATCATTTAAGGCAAAGTAGTAGTTTGTACTAGCGCACCCCTATATGCACGTTAAAAGGCTAGGTGTGTGTGGATAAATACAGTAGAATTGAACCACTCCGTAGCGGACTTGGTTTGCCTTGGGTTGTGGTTCATGTTCAACTGTGCCGAAGGGAGGGCCTTTCTTTGTCACTATTTATCCTTGATGTTCGGGGAAAAGTGTCTGTCGATTCAGTTGCTTGCTCTCCCTCCATCAGTTCAGTACAAATGACTCATGACGATCAAACTAGCATCATGTATTTGGTAAGTCTATCAAACTAGCAGTTAGCATTGATTGCTTCATGATATAGATGAGCTATGAAATGATATCTATATATATCTGGAATCCAACTGACCCCTGTTTTGATAGGAAAAGGCCCTATTTTGGGTGGTTGGTGGTCCAAAATAGAGGTCATTCAGGTTCTAGGTATATATATATATATTATATGTCACAATTGCATCAACCTGCAGAACATGTGCGCAGCAGTTTGTGGCCAGGCGGCGGTAGCCGCTGCGCGTCAGGAATGTACCCAGCTCGCTTCTGTCAGCAGATCCTTAGGGCTTCAGAGGGTAGACCTTATTCGTCCTTATTCCCTAATATTCCATGTAATTATACTGACATATGCATTTAAAATCATTGAAACATCTGCAAACAACCCTAATGTAGGTAAATAAGACTAAGCATGGATTGTTGGGGGTTGGGACTCTATTTTGTGGTGTCAGTGTATTCTAGGTTCAGAACTGCATGAAGGGGGAGGGGGGTTGGTTGGAAACTGGCCGTCTTTTCATGAGTCCAAGGACGACTTCAAGGACATGGAGTCCACTTAGTAAGTGAGCCACGCTAATTCCAAAGGTTCCCAGTGAAAGAACCAACTAGATATAGACACTACTTCACTAGTTGGGGTCTAGTGAACGACAAAACTACAAACCCACAACAACCCCAACACAAGCTGCGCTGCATCCATCTGCACCACGCAAGCTGCACCCATGCAGGCTGCTATGCCTTTCTTCCAACCCCCCCACCTGCACGCTTCGTCCCTTCGTCCAAGGGTCTCAGGCTCCAAGAGGCCCAGGCCATGGTAAGTCCCCGGTCCGGTACTGGATGCGACTGGCGGGACCCGGTGATGGGACGCGGTTCGCGGCGGGGGAGGCTGGTGGGTGGGTCCTGGTGGTAGCTGGGAGCAACGACCAAGGGTGTTGAACGAAAGCCTGGTGATCCTTATAATAATCGTGGTAGCTGGGGACCCACTGGGTGCTGAGTGGAAACTCTGTGCAAGACTCTTCCTTGGCTGGCGTCCATCATCTGAAGAGACCATGCGTCTCACCACCACCCATGTGTCTCACCAAGCAACTGTATCTCAGCCCGACCCCACACAAAACTCCACTCATACCAACCCAACCAGCTCACACCAACTCCACAAATACGACCCCAAATACCCGCCCAACTGACACTGAAACCCCTACTACCTGATATGAGTTTTGCTCTATTCATTTGGGTCTCCTCCGGCCTCCAAGAAGGGCACCTCGTTGAGACGTTCCAGAAGCTCATGGGCCGAGGCTTCCCATTCCGGCAGCTCCTGCCGCTCTCAGTTCCATGAGTACTTCTCCAATGGGGTTCATGGGGGCAATCTATAAACGATTCAATTAATCACAACATCTGGGAAGTCCGAACAAATGTGGGTGAATCCAGTAAATCTCCATGTTAACTGTTCTTTATTTTGTTGTTGATGTTGTTCCTTTTTTGGTGTGTGTGTGCTTGTTTCTCTCTGGTGCGAGGATGTCTGAGGAAACCTTCCAACTGCCCACCTCTGCGGGTCTCTCTGCAAAGAGTTCCACCCACAAGTTCCGATCGTCCCCGACCTCCAATTGCCAGTCCGTCTGCACGCCAAGTTCTCCAAGAATCCTCCTTGGCTGGCCCCTAAGACATGCTATCAAAACCAGTTAAAACAGCTTTAGCCTGGGTTCTTCAAAGTGACCGAACTTAATAACCTGGTTTGAGGTCACTTAAGCCTCCTACGGGTCACAAAAAGGAACCTTCAAAAGGTCACTTCGAAGAAGCTGGAAAGTTTATGTTATTTTATATTGTCACATAAACCGCATAAACGCATGGTTTGGAACGTCACCCGAACATTCCACCTGAGCTGTGCATTCCTTAGGAAAACTCCCAGGGACAAGTGACTATAAAGTCATTCGAACATTTGACTCCAAGTTCGGTTTTTGCAAATGGGTGTCATCCTGCAAGACTGACACCAGTCTCGGGTGTCAGTCTGAAATCCAATTAGGAGTCACCACTGGGTTTACTTCCATTGCTGCCATGGACTCTGCGTGGATTCCGGATCGAACTCCGAGATATTCGGCTCCTCAGCCCCGTTCTGCCGGGTGCTGAGGGCGGTCAGATGCGTTGAGACAGGACCCGAGGGTTCGGGTTCCTCGGCCCCCCTGGAAGTCACATGGTGAGATGGAAGGAAAATGGCTCCGACATGCTGAGACCATCAGTGGAATCTCCCAGGCACTGAAGTCTCACCCTAGAGGCAGCCCGAAGTGAAGGCTTATCCTCGCTTTTCTCCTTTTCCACTTCCATCGTACGTTCCAGAGTTAGTGTCAAGTCTCCGTCCAGAACCCCGGACAGGGCAAGATCTGGCAAGCAATCCCCAAGGTGCATTGAGCATAGCAGGGCCCCAGGTCAAAATGATCATGCATGCAGTGATATAGGGTGACCTATTTATTTGGATGAATTTGGGTAGATCATGGTAGGTCCCATTAGCCAGAGGCTCATGGACCCCCAAACTGCTACATGTTTGACCTGGCTGTGAGGGTCAAAACCCTAGCGAACTGAGGGTCCAATGAGCCTTAGGGTAGCAGGTTTCAGTGGATGATGATGGGGCATCCCTACCCTGACATGGAACTGGTGGTATGAGGACCTATAGATACATCGATCGACACGGTGACCTGTGTGAGTTTGGAGACTTGGTGGTGGGCTAGTGGCTTTGCCATGCATCTCCTCGAAGCTATAGAGGAGAAAAACAACAAGGGGACAAAGGTCTGCAAAGCTGGCTCCTCCAGGCGCTCTTGATACGTCTTCGGATCTTGTAGTGCCCAAGGCTGTTCTTGATCACTTCGAGAGGCCTCGCGCCACTCACGTTGGAGCCGACAAAAGGCAAGTTTTCGGACGTCCGACTTCGAGAGGCCGCCGACGGATGAAGCGGCTCGACAGAAAATCACACCAGGCCTCTTACCCGATATCCATGGTATGGGGGTGTCCGTTCTTACCAGCAGTTGGTCAACAAGAACACGGCTTTTGGAACCCCTGCAACCAGGCGCCATCATCCACTGTTACAGGGAATGGGATGTACATCAAATATGTCCAGCTCACTTTCATGTTCACTTTCCAGTATATTTGCGGGTCCAAACCCCTTTCCATGTATATTTCACATCGTATATATTATGTTTTTCATATGTTTTACACTCACAGAGCCCAGTTCCTCTCTTCACCCGCTTCACTGCAAGCCTCAACCAGCAAAGCGGTCATGCTGTTGAGGGTGTCTCGAAACAAACCTCGCCGTCCCGGCACGGCGATGCGGGTCGCCGCCCGCGTTTCGCACGGCGCACCGCTGTGAAGGTCGCGTTTCGCACGCGGACGTCGGCGACTCTTCGCGTGGCTACTCCTTGACCAGGTGTTTAATAACTTCAAGAGTGTTATGCCCATGTTAGCTACCTGGTCAACCTCAGGAGTACTTGCTACCTTGAACCTTGACCAGGTGTGCAGGAGTACAGTACTTATGCCCAAGGTATGCCCAAGGTTCCAAGAAGTACAACCTGACTCTAGCTGACTCCCAGAAACCTGCTGACCAAAGAGTCAGCCACACATGACATCACATGACCATGACCACACCCCGTCCTTGTTCCGCACTAGCACCGCACAAGAAGCGGTTCATGCGGTTCACTGAACAGACCGTTTTCGGTGTGTTCGGGTGAGACTGGGTTTCAGGGGTGCCAAGACACCGCTCAAGGCCGGTAGGGCGGAGGCTCCGGCGGAGACTCCGACGCCAGCTACACCAGCTCCATAGGCGCGGCCGCTGGGTGAGCGCTCGGGGGAGGTCGGATTCAATACGCTATGCACCAGGCCTGCCATCGCAGTCTGCTTGAGACCCTTGGTCAAGGCTCTTCGAAGCCAGGTGGTATGCATCTGTTGGAAGGCCTCGTCAATGCCTCCATAGGCTTCTTGAAGAATCCGACGAAGGCGTGCTGGGCTGCCGGAGATGGCCTTCGAGTTGAAACCTTTCAACAAGGACCATTCGCTGATGCTCAGCAGGCCTGCCGTCTGCCGTCCAGAGACTTCCTTTACAGGCCGGGAGCAAACAATCAAATCATGAAGCACCCCGTCCTTGACTTGCAGGGGTTTATCTGCACATGGATTTCACAAGGCCTCACCCCATTATCCCCGCAGCGCCATTCTCTCGTCCCTCTCACAGCCCCAGCACAAAGCAATGCAACATAGAAAATAATTGAATCTAGACGTCAACACGGCGAATCTCAAGGCAAGCTTCATTGAGAAACAGGAACAGCATCTTCAAGTCTGCTTTGGGTGCCATCTTGTTGAAGCCAGCGGACATACAAACCTTGTTGAAGGCATTGTATCCTGCCATCTTTGGCGATGCTGGTAGTCCTCGAGGCGAGGAAACCCACGGAGTCGAGCACGAGCACGAGCACGCGTGACTTCCCCAAGCGACGCAACACGCATTGAAGGAAGTATCCACTTACCAGGACCTTCTCAGTGACCTCTTCAGGATTGGTAAGTGACCTTTTCTTTCGGCGTTTCGTGACCGACCCGCCACTGGGATCTCAGGTCACTGGGAAGGCTGGTATAAGTATATGATGCACCAGGAGTCACATGGAGTTGGGTGGTTTTTAGTCCCATCCAGGGGCCGTGGATGTGACAAGGGCACCACTAACCTCCATGGATAGCACCTTGACATGTGGCTGCTGGTATGTGTTGTTCATCACCAACTATTCAACTAGGAACAAGAAAGCTACTAGGGGCTCCTGGCATCGCTACTAGGAGCATTCTTGCTACTAGTAACAAGAAGTCTTCATGGAATTGCACCTTCTTGAGCTGATCCATTTACTCTCCTGGGAACAAACATGGAAGTGGATGGCACCTCTTGGTTGTAGAGGGCTTCATGGTCTTTCTTTCCGGGCCATGCCATCCGTTCCGGGGAGTGTACACACATGGATACGCATGGTGTTTCTCTCCATGGTCCATAGTAGCAACCTCTCTTCGAAACCTGCCCTTGTCCTTGGTGAAATTCCTAAAACATTACATATATATATATATTTAAATATTGAATATTATTTGACATATTTTATGATGTTTATTATAGTTTGACAATGTTTTACCAAACATCAACCCAAGCCATAACAAACTCAAGATCCCAAGATCACTTCAAACAAAACCTCTCTCCCAGGCAACCATCCCCAACTCATGCTACCAACACCCGGCTTCCATCCGATGTCAGTCACGACCCACCACCCGCCATGATCGAACGCCGTTTCTTCCCGGATTCTTCCGTCCTTGGAGGATTCTTTCACGTTCCAGGAGCTTGGCAAAGGCCGCCTCCAACCCCCCAAGCATCGTGTCCGCGAAGCGCTTCAAGGCTTCCACCTCCCTCAACACGTCCTGGGCCATGTGGCACGGCCGTGGACCCGGCCTGGACCGGCCCACGGTGGGTGGAAGGGAACTCAAAGCAAGCGCTGGGGAGAATACACCCTACCTTGGGCTCCTGGCCCATCTCCGTTTCGGTTCGATGGGCCAGGGGTGGATGGTCGACTGGGGGGGGTCGAATACCACCGGTCACCTGAGGATATATGGGACGTTCGGAGCCCTAGGGACAATTGAATGTACGTGATCGGGTGTCTTTCTTGGGCTCTGAAATTTCATTGAATTGGTTGCTGGAACTTCACACTCTGTTTGGATCATTGGATCACTTTAGTGGCCAACATGTGGCAAATCTGTCATGGGCCCGCTCTATCCAGCTGGTCCTAGGGACATGCCTTAACATCATATCTAAGTTCAATATGAATATGGATGTGACGACTGTGTCCAACACAACAGATCTCTCAGGTCTTCCACCCCTCTCTGGTCGCTTCGGGACATCGAAATCGAAAACGCGATCTCAGTGGGTCCCCACTCACGGTGTCCGTCCTCGAGCGGTCCAGTTAGACCCATCAGAGGTCCAGTACAATTCGAATGACTTGCGATGCGATGCTGCGATGCGAACACGTATCACAAATGATTATTCCACTTTGATTGTTTTTTCCAGATCCTGGCAAAATAAACAAAAAGATATTCCCCAAAAGGGGATTTAGACATGGGAAACAAATCACCTTAAGCAAAACCAGGTCCGAAAATCTCTGGCCCTGCACTGGTGTGGGTGGTCGGCACAACTCTCAGAGCTGCAGGGCCCCTTCAGGGCCTTTGGGTGTCACATGCTTCTTCCCGCGAACTACTTCAGCGCTTCATCTCTCAGCACGGTCCTCACAGCGGAACTCTAAGAGCTTCTGGAACTCGCGGGCATTCACCTGGAGAACGCTTGGACCAACAACGGAAAACGCTCCTGTTTGGTTCGATTTGGGGCATCCACCTGGGCCGTATTGTGAGGTGGTGTAGCATCGATAGAGATAGAGCTGTCTGGTGAAAATGCTTTCTCCCAACAGTCACAAGATGGGTGCCGAACTTAGAGGTAGTCAGGGTGCCCAGCTACTCCAATCACTGGATGGGACTGAAAACCACCCCGTCTGGTGACTCCTGGTCTGTCTATCCATCGGTTTCACATGCTTCTTCGCTGTGCCACCTCCCCGTCGAAGTTCCGGTCCAGCAAGGAGAACACGGATTTCATGACGCGCAGCTCACAGGGATAGCCTGAGGGTGGCGCGGTGGCGCGGGTGGCGAAAGTAGGATGGCGAAATACAAACTGGATGGGTGGAACTTTTCCTTAGGTTGGTATGATAGTCATAGGATGGTATGGATAGATTGAAGTTCTAGAATTGCTTGAATTGCTTGGCCCACTCACCCATAGACGTTTGCACTTCAACGCAAGCTTTGTCCCTCTTCAAGGTCCTAAGCATGTCGCGTCCGTCTACGCCAGTACCTGGGTTGAAACCAACCAAACATATCCAAACTAACCGTATTACAATATCCCAAACCATCCATGGCAACCTGAACATATGCCGCCCCAGAAAAGACCCAGGTCAACCAGTCGAACTGATCGCAGTTCCATGGATGATGCTCCAGGTATGGCAGGTCAACTGCCCATTTGTTTTGTTTTCATTCTCTTCATTCAGCCTAGTCGCGACTATATCTGCCACAAGGACCTCGCATCCTATACCTCACCGTCAATCCCAAACGCTCCACGGGACTGGCATATTTACCAACATTGGGGTGGTGGAGCCACTCGATCCGCCCAACGCCGTTGACCCCGGCTACAGCCCGCTCCATGGCTCCAAAGCACACCCAGGACGGCACCAAACCAGTCATCCCCGCTCTTTCCAAAAATCATCCAACTAGCTAAGGGGGTTGGGTACTAGCTTCCAAGTAGATCTAATCTTCGATTGGCATTTAAAAAGCCACGTGAAAAATACTGAACTAGCTCTCAACACCTCCCCCTGTACAAGGAGAAGACTTGGAAGCCGAGACCCGAGCCGGCCGAGAACCTCGCCGCCCTCGTCTTCAGCCCGTTGTCCCCTCCGAGGAGCCCAGGGCCTGGGCACCTTCCCAAAGCGCCTTGCAGCTCAAGCCCTTCCCGTCGGTGGAGCCCAAAGTCTTGAAGACCTTGCGGAAGACCTCGCCGGTCGAACCAAAGCCTTCAATGACCCAGGACTGGAAGTGTTCCTCAGTTCCGCGCGAGACAAGGAGGTGGCGAAGCAGGGCACTTCCTCCCCCACAAGAAACCCACGGGGGGCGAAGAAGGATCTGAAGGAAGAGATGCCATGAACCACGAGTCACATGTCGGGGTGGTGTTTGCCCCCCCGACTACCTCCATGGATCGCACCCCGTCGAACGTGACTGCTGGAATTCAGCACAACATGCTATGATTGATGATGATATGATGTGAAAATTGATGGATGTCCAGTCTTGTGTTGATTTCACATCTGCGCTTAGAAGCAACACGTTCTTCCACAGCCGCACCCCTTTCCCCATATCCCCCTCCACTCCCTTGAAATCATCGGACTCAGGTACACTCTGTAAACAAGCAAAACACAACACATGAAAAAACATGTAATTAAACACACTGTAACTACAAACCCCAAACGCTCCATATGTCATATATGCCGACCCATTGACCCCCCAAACCACCCTGGCCTGATCGGCAGTCCTATTCCAGTCCCAGGCAGGTCGCGTCTGGGAATTGGTGCCCGAACCAACCTCCCACCGAAACCACCGCGTACGTACCGAAGTGCGGAAGCCAAGTGTCCAGGCGCCGGAGTGCCAACACCGCACCGTGCATGTTGAGGCTCAAGAAGTCCGGTAAATCCTGGATCCCGGCGCGGTCAACCCA